CTACGATCTAAAACTATCAAACCATAAATTAAAAAAAAAAAAAAAAAAAAAAAAAAAAAAAACATGAAGAAACTGTATGTCAAGCGTATGTGGGGTTGATCTCGACATCACATACCCTCTGCCCAGTCATTGTTTGAAGCTGAAGGACAAATGGAAGCAAACACAACTCTCACCGTTAATTAATGGGCAAGAAATCGATTCTGGAATGAGTTTTCTTATGTTGAATTGGTGAAGTGGGGTGGCATGGGGTGGGTATGTTGGCGTATTTTCTTATTTAATAATAGTAAATACTTATAGAAAAAAAATAGAAAATAAATATAATAAAGCAATTTTGTTATTTCAATCTTAGAAACATATTTGGACTAATAATTCAAAACTTTGTAGTTTGGAGTATTTTCTTAAAAAAAATACATACCACAAAGACCATTTAAAAAAAAATGAATGCCTTAGAGACTTGCACTGTACAAACTATTAATGCAGGAATCATTATAGATTTTGGATTGATTTAGAAACGTACCCAAATCAGAAGCTGCAACTCTACGTAAAGATCATCTCCACCATTATCCGAATCAGCATACTGCCTCATATCGATGAGATCCCCTTCCCAAATCACACAACCCGACCCGCCTTCAGTGACATCCATATTAGCATAAGCAGCACAAGAACAATTCGTTTTGCAAATCTCACCACACTTTTTCAAATTTATCGTCTGATCTAAAAAAGCTTTCGAAGTCTCCGGCAGTTTCATGTTCTTCAATAGCTTAAATCCATCCGACCTGCAATCCAAACTGGAGTTTCTAACACACCATCCAACCCAACTCGGAGATCCCATGCTTGTTTGTTCTTCGGATGGAATCCAGTCATACAACTGCAGATCGGTGCAGGGTTTGCAGTACAAATGCCAGACGGACCACATTCACCAAAGTGGTCGCAATTACCGGGGAAAGACCAGTACACGCTCCAGGTTTTTGTTGTGTCAGCCCAAACCAATCTTTGATTCACACCAGAAGAAATACAACCAATCGCGAATAAATTGAACTATTCACCAATTTAATGAATAATAAATCTCATCTAATTATCTTCAACGTCAAACTGCATTATACTCCTCCCTTTTATCTCCGGTACACCACTAAACCTTCTTCCAGTCCACGGTCCACTCCGACGAATTAACGTTTCCTTGCGCATAAGCAAAATCTCCGGGAACTGACGAACAGTGAATATAAGAGAATAATCACCAGTTGCTGGATCTACGTTGTTCGTCTTCCATGACCTCAAAATCCGAGTAAGTCCAGATTTCCTGTCCCACCCAAGTTTCATCTCCGGCAATAGAGTATCAGTCGGATAATCAAAGCTTTGCCAAATATAATTTCTGGACTCTCATCGTTTTCCGGACGAAGCACAAAGTTACCGGTGTCCAAAAGCTGCGCCACCGTGTTCCCCACCCGTGTAGGTTGATTTGTCGACCAGACGATGGTTCCCGTCTGATTTACAAGCACCATGTTGCCGTTGCTGATGATGGTTAGGTTCCCGGAGGATGAAGTAATGGGGGTGTCTCTATTAGCTACCCCAAACATATGTTTTCTGCTGAATTTGCTTGTACCAAATGCCTATATACAAATTATTGTTGCCTGGATTGAAGAACCCCAACTCAAAATGTTCACCTTTAGAAACTAGAGTTTGATTGATGGTAAGTGGCTGTGAGAATGTGATGGTGTCAACAGCTAGAGAGTGAAAAGGGTACAAGAGTGACAAGATGAAGATGAAGATGGAGGTGCTGACATGGCTATGGAGGGTTTTCATTCTTTGAAAGTTACAGATTAACACTAACAAATTTTTATGTTCATTGATTTGTGTGATTGGATGTTATATGAACGTTGTCAACTTCAAAAAATTCGTGGAGATGGTGTTTATATTTTATAATTCTTGAATCCAGTTTGATCAGTTGACTTTCGAATAAAACTTGATTAATAATTTACGGAAATTATATGGTAAGTACCTCAAGAAGTCAAGAGCAATGGCAAGTAAACTAATGTGGATAACTAGGGACAGACTTAGAAACGGTCAAATTGGGAAAAAAGAAATACTACTAAAAATACTAATGTATATACATACTTATTAGTCGAATTACCAACTCTATTTATTTAGGTAAAAAGATATATAAATAACAAATAATTTAAAATAAAGTTAGTAAAAAAACATTCAGACATTGAGTACTTTCATTAGAATATTATTTGAACAATAAATATGGCCCATTTGAAAACATGCTTTATTGGAGGAAAAAAAAAATCCAAATCTATACCGAAGCTCTCCATTAAAGTCTTATTATTTTATCATAATTTACGAAAAAGTCTCAAACTAAAATTTATTTACGAAAAAACATAAATTACTGGTAAAAGTGGTTATTTGATACATTACAGACCTATATGCATCAAAGTCTCATTATTTTACCATAATTACGAATAAGCCCTAAACTAAAATTTGTTTACGAAAAAAACATAAACTACCGGTAAAAGTGATGATTTGACCATTTTCTCCTATAATACACATTTTACCGGTTTTATTGCTAACCTAAACGCATAATCATTAAATGAGCTGATGAGATGGATAGATTGGATTATGTAATGATATGTCTATCGTAAAACTTGATATCCTTTTGCATTGTATTTTTTTTTTGGAATATCAAAATGAATCCAACAAATACTATAATAATTACATAACTAGCAATAACTTATCCTATAAACACACATTTTACCGGTTTTATTGCTGACTTAAACACATAATCATTAAATTAGCTGATGAGATGGATAGATTTGATTAAGTTATAAGAAATTTCAAATGAGAAAAGGCATGTTTTTTCGTAAATAAATTTTAGTTTGAGACTTATTCGTAAATTAGGGTAAAATAATGAGACTTTATTGCGTCCATGTCAGCAAGGAAACCAATAAACCAGGAAAAATAGTCAAATCGTCACTTTTACCGGTAATTCATGTTTTATCGTAAATAAATTTTAGTTTGGGACTTATTCATAGATTAAGGTAAAATAATGGGACTTTAATGGAGATTTCTCATTAAAAAAAGAATATTTTTTCTATTTTGGTCTCATTTAATCTTTTTTTATGGATTGGTACAAATCAAAATTTTAAGGGTAATTTGTAAAAAAATCCTATTATTTTTGAAAAAATAAGGACTAAGTCATTAATTTTATTTAATAAAAGAGCCCATAAACCAGATAAATCGTTCACTTTAACCTATTATACCTGGTAACCCTCATTTAACTGGTTACCCTTGTTGATGTGGTCATTAGTTGGGGATTGTGTATGTTAACCTCATTAATTTAGGTTTTTTAAAAGAAAATCCATTTGTCTCTTTTTCATCCAACATTTTCTTCCTAACATTCCCTCATTTCATCCTAAGCTTTTGTCGATGGATGAACTATTTGAGTCGGACACCATCGACGTTCAACTTGATGAGTATTTCAAAAGAAAACCTATTTCAAGACGCAAAGATGAGTTTCTAAATGCTCTGCATGATGAGATTAATGATGAAGCGCATTTAGCTGAAGTAGACCATCATGAAGTGGACTTGGATGAGAAGTAGATGATGAGGAAGATAGTGAGGAAGATAGATTCTAGTATGTCACCCATGATCCGAAGGCCAGATGAAATGTTATGACACCAGTGTGTGGAGAAAAGTATGAATTCATACGTCATCTAAAACTATGTTTAACAAATCGTTCCATCTATAAGGGTTTTCAAATTCGTTTCAAGAAGTGTGATAAGGTTAGATTAGTGGTTGTATACTTGTATATGAAAGTGATCTAGAAAATTTCCCTTTCATGGTTAGGGCTTCATGGATGAGTACTGAAAAATCATTCCAGGTAAAGAAGACGAATGACATGCATATATGTGTTAGGAATTTTAATAATTCAACACTTATGAATCCAACTTGGTTAGCAAAGAAATTTGTGAAAGAATTGATAACTAAACCAAGCTTAAAAAAGGAAATATAGGAAATTATACAAAGTAAATTTCACTACAAGGTCTCATGGTCAAAGTGCTATAAAGCAAGGTGTAGGGCACTGTCCTTAGTTAATGGCAAATTGAGTAACCATTACGCGAGAGTGTGGGATTACAAACATAAGTTGATGAGGTCCAATCCAAGCAGTATAGTTAGGATTTATGTTAACCTTAACCCTGATACAAATTTTCATAGAATATATATTTGTTTTAAAACAATCAAAGAGGGATGGAAAAGAGGATGTCGAATGGTAATAGGCATGGGTGATTGTTTCTTAAAGGGACAATGTAAGGGTGAGCTAATAACTTCAATAGGTAGAGATGAAAACAATCAAGTTTACCCTATAACATGGGATGTTATTGAGGTTGAAAACAAGGTTAATTGAAAATGGTTCTTAGAACTAGTTACTGAAGACCATTCATTAGAGGATGGTAGGGGATTAAGTGTCATCAGTGACCAACACAAGGTAATAACAATGATTCCATTATTTACTTATCATTTATAACACTTTCTAATAACAATTACTAATTTACTTTTTCATATGCTAGGGTCTTCTTGAAGCTACAAAGGATCCTAATTGTCAAAGTACACTACAAAGGAGATCATGGACTGTATCATAATCAATGAAGCAAAATTACAAGAGTTTGAAGGTGTAAAATAAGTACATATGGATCTTGATATGTTTGTAGTATGCTTTCTCATTCTTCATGTTATGTAATATGCATCACTTATGGTGTTTAATCTACTAACTATTCATTGTTATGCTTATTACATGATATATGAATAGATAGCCAAATTACAATTGAAGGAGTCCCTGAAACTCATTCATTTAGGGATGAGGAAAGGATAGATGAGAAGAGCATGGATATGGAAAACATGACATAATCTCCACTTTCTTGTACTAAGATATTTAATAAAGCAAAAGTAATAAAGAAATAGAATAAAATGTTGTACAATTGTAGATGGTTCCTAACCTACTTGCACTATCTACCATGTAATATTGATACCGTGATTTCGTTTATGCTCCTTGAATCATCTTGTATTCTAGAAAATTCTGTTTCAGTGTTCCTTTTTCTAATAAAGAATCCAGGATATTTTGGTAGTGATATTTGTGCGATTTCACTGGACAGTAGCAACAATATATTTGACATGTTAGGTCTATCTTCCGGATGTTCTTGAACACATAACAATCCAATTTGTATGCATCTTAATACTTCGTTCTCAAAAATATTGGCCCTGATAGATTCATCTAGTAGTTCTAAAGCGTTGCCTTCGTTCCATAACGTCCATGTCTAAAATCGTTGTAATCGTTACATATAAGATAATATCAAGAAATGGTTAGAATTTCTTAATCTATCATAGTTAAGGTATGTTTGATATGATGAAATAAAATTAACAAAGCAAGGGAATGAACAATGTAATTTAATGAGTCGTTATATTATATTGTCATGTTTATTAGTTTAAACGAAAGCAACAAATTATTAGAAAATTAATATTAAAAAATTAAAAATATATGAAAGAAAAAATTACATATGAACATATTTCATAACATTTGAAATATATAATAAATATTTCATACAGTGGAAAGTAATTAATCTTTAAAGGCTTGTTTATAAAATAAAACAAAATCAAAATTGAGTATAATGAAAGTAAAGTAAAATTATAATCAAAGTCGATTCTTAATCTTTATAAAATAACAAAAGTTAACTTAGTTAAAGTTTTGATTTTTTTTTTAAATATTACTGAATTTTATAAAGTAGTTATATAATAATCATTTCATTCCATTAAAAAGGAAATGGAAAGAACAGATCTCTCCAAATGAATGAAAATTGCCTAAAGATAAATAATCACAATCATCAAAGAAAGCTCAGATTCATTTGTACATAAGGATAAACAAACAAGATCTATTTAATGCCACATAATGCTTCATTTTATTCCTTTTGTATTACTATAATTCAAACACTATCTTAATACTTACTTGTCTCAGAAGGTTGTGTTGACTACTTGTATAACATGATCCGGTGTTCTTTTTACCGCTTACTATCTCGAGAACCAAAACTCCAAAACTGAACACATCTGATTTTGTTGAAAAATGCCCATCCATTGCATATTCAGGTGACATATAACCGCTACAAGAAATTTGAGAAATATAATAAGTCTAAAACTACAATGATATTAGTTTGCATAAATAGATTGTTACTTACTATGTTCCAACCACTTTCTTTGTTTTCGCTACATTTTGATCACCCCAAAAAATCCGTGCCATACCAAAATCAGATATCTTCGGGTTCATTTGTCTATCGAGCAAAATATTACTAGCTTTTAGATCCCGGTGAATGACCTTAAATCTTGAATCTTGATGAAGATAAAGAATCCCTCGAGCAATCCCACATATGATCTCGAGTCTGATTTTCCAACTGAGTAACGTTTTTCTCTTTGTCTATAATTATTTCAAAAGACACCTTAGATTTGAATAAAAAATATGTATCGAATGAAAAAAAAATAAAGCCTGTGAAAAAATTACCAAAAAGGAACATATCGAGACTTTTATTTTCCATGAACTCATAAACCAATAACTTCTCTTCGGCTTCAATGCAACAACCTAATACTCGAACAAGGTTCCGATGTTGGAGTTTCGCGATTAACTGAACCTCGTTTTTAAGTTCTTCAATCCCTTGATCAGAAATTCTTGAGAGTCTTTTTACCGCTACAACTTCACCTTCCTTTAATGTACCCTGTATTACCAACAACAAAAATCTTCTTGATGTTCTCATGTTTATCACGACACAATAATTTAAAAGGGAAACTTAAATAACATTTTATACTCTTGATATCAATATAGGGAATGCACTATTTTTTCCGACAACACTAGTTATACTTTTGTACCCATAATAACAATATACTTATATTTCTTCACCGATAACAACAAAATATGTATCATGAAACTTATAAAAAAATATACTTAATTTCTTACTCATGTTAACAACTTAAATGCATTTCTTAGCCATAGAATAGTAGCAAAATAAGTACATCTATTTACTAATAATAACAATGCACTTGTTCTTTTTTTGCTATTATAATAATAATATGTAATCTAACACTAGTAAGTATTTTGTAACTTTCAGGTAAAATGTTGGTATAATCCGTAGATAAAAGAAAGTATGTTGTTAAGTAACTTGTCATTATGAGTAAAATGTATAGTATGTTGTTTATATGGTAGAAAGAGTAAAGTAATTTGCTATTTTATGCAATTTGGGGTATTTCAATTGTTAATACGTTGAAGATACTTTACCTTATAAACACACCCGAACCCGCCTTGCCCAGTTTACTTGAGTTCGAGAAGTTGTTTGTAGCCATAACAAGTGTCATAAAATCGAACAAAGGTAACTCAAGTTCATCTGTCTTTGTTTCACCATAATAATCTCTTTTATTTGGCACCACCACCCCATCTTTTAATGTGAAATCTTTGACTCGTTTTCTGGAGCTAATTTTGATCATTAAAAAAGTATACTAGTCATATGTGAATCAAGAAAACAACCTATTTTGACCTTAGAAATCTTTAAGTGTTAATGTGATTTTAAATTATTTTCTATGTTAATTTAATGATATTTATACTCCTCAAGTTAAAAATTACCTGGTATATCTGACTCTAGTTTTTTCAACCTTTGTAGTTTCTTCCTCATCAAGTGAAAGAGTATAATTAGAAATATCAGCACCACACTAGCACCGATGGTAATGCCAACAAGTTTGACAACTTTGTTGTTGCTGCCGGAGCTATTTTTAGAACTTTTAGTCATCGGTGATTCGCCTACAGTGAATAGATTCGTACTTAATGATATCTGAAATGTAAAATCCAAGGCAAATCTACAACTTTTAATACATATGATAAATTTCACCAAACTGCCAAAGTAAGTTTTTGTGTGTCCCCCAAAGTAACGAAGTCTAATGTTGTATATAATATTAATGCATGAGATACACATTACGTGAGTCTGTTTTCTTCCAAAAGAACAACTTGGGTAAAACATGCCTAAATAAAACTTTTGACTACTGATTATTTATCAAGATGACAAATTAAAGAAACTTTTGGACCAAAAGATAGCTACTTATTTTGAAGTATGGTCATTCATGGCCTCATGGGCAAGAAAAATAAACTACGATTTGTAATATTTGTTATGTAAAAACATAATCCGTTGTATTGTATTTAATATGTATCGAGGTTTGGATTTGAAATGATGTTCATGCGACAAAAAAAATGTTTTTTTTTTTTATTGTGAAAAAGACAATTTTTATGCTTTATCCGAAATATAGATGAAAATAAAGTTTTTTTTATTAAATAACCACTAATTTCACATGCCTTCATTAGTTTTTTCAGTTTTTTTTTATATACCATTTTTTTTAAAAAGAAATTCACTTCATTTTATCAGTGAAATCTTTATTTTTCCTGTGAAAATGGTATTTGAAGATTGCTACCACAATAATTAATGGTTTTCATAAAAATATAAACAATTCTGGCAGTATATAAAGAACAATAGTTTCTTATGTCAATCTTTTTTTTCTAAGTTTTGGTCATTTTTTGCTGGTCAAACCTACGAACTCGCATGTCAAACAAAGAATTTGAAGGCAAAACCTATGTAATAAGTTTTCTTCAGAAAAAAAACGATTTAGTATTTCACAGATTAATTTACTGATTATAGTTTTAACACATCGACCATAACATACAATGGTGTCATAATTTCTTTCATCAGTCATTTTAAATATTTAATTAATGGTTTTTTTTTCTTCATTATTATATAAATCAGTGATGTTGATGTTTGTTTTAATTATCACATTTAGAACAATTTTCCCAATCGCTTCGTGAAAAGACCAATTTATGGTGTTGCTTAAAAGCTTAATTAACAAACTGTCTTTGTTATGCTAAGCTCATTGATGAATGGGTCGTTAAAACTGTCAAAGATTCTCACATAATTAATTACTAGTTAAAAAAATGAATAAAAAAGAGAAAAAAAAATCAACGAGCCATTCTAGAACTAGACTTGTTAGCTTTGATTACTGGGATATCCTACAATTTGTTTAAAATGAAGGTT